GTTTCCAAGATTTAGCTAAACATGGGTGCAAATATAATGTTTTTAATTCTTCTGGGAAAATACCCAGAAATTGAATAGCTGGATTGATCGGGATCACTAATCCTGGTTTTTTGAGGAATCTCCACATTGATTTCCAAAGTGGATAAACCAGCCTATATTCCCATCAACGTTGGAAGAGGTTTCCTTTTTTCCATAGTCCCTCCAGCATTTGTTATTGATTTCTTGATGATAGCTATTCTTTCTGGAGTGAGAAGGAATCTGTGTTTTAATTTGCATCTCTTGAATGACCAACATTATTGAACATTTTTTCATGTATCTATTTACCATTTGTATTTTTTCATTTAAGAAGTGTATATTCATCGCACATGTCCAGTTTTGGACTGAGTCTTTGAATTTGGCGGTTTGATTTTTTTTCAATTATCTTTGTATGTTCTAGATATAACTCCTTTGTTTGTAGGACAGATGGCTGCAACTTTGTTCTCGCTCTGTGGGATTTCTTTTCACTCTGCTGGTGATTGCTTTTATTGTACAAAATCTTTTTAATAAGGTGAGATTTTATTTGTTGATTCTTTGTAACACTTCCCTCACAGTCCCGGTTTTGTTCATGAAGTCTCTGCCTACATCTATGTCATTGAGATTTCTATCTATTTTCTTTCCAGTAAATTTAGCTTCTATTTTAACAGTTATATCTTTGATCCATTTTGACTTTATTTTAGTGCATGGTGATAGACATGGGTCTAGTTTTAGTCTCTGGCATGTGGAAAGTCAGTTTTTCTAGCAAATGCTTTTAAGGCTCCAGATAGAAGATAGTTTAGGCTAGTGAGCCATGTAGCCTTTTTCAGAATTAATTCATCTGTTAGGTTGCAGCACACAAACTTCCTTACATAATATGTAAGCACATAGATGTGTCTCTATTCCAATAAGACTGCAAAAGTGGAGGACTAGCCTGTGGGCTGTAGTTTTTGATCTCTTTGCCGATATCATCAATGTTTTCTCATTTCCCCTTTTTATTAGTATATGTTTGCAATACACAATAAATACATTCATTCTGGGGAATTATATATATATATATAGCACTAAGTTTCAACCTTTAATATTTTCTAAGTTATGCATTTAAATTTACATTAAGGTTAAGATTGTCCTGCCTCAGCCTTACAAGAAGTTGGAACTATAAACATGCACTGCCAGCCCTGGATATAGGGAACTTTTGAAACCTCTGATTTCACTCTCTAGTTTCATAAATTTCTCAATTATTATATCACCAAATTTTGCTTCTTTTATTCTCTTTTTCTGCTTTCTCCTTTGAGATGTACATATATTGGTTTCCCCTAACTATTTCTCTTCCCATTTTTTTTCTGCTTTTTTTCTGACCTACTTTTAGTTACTGAATTTGCAGTTGGGTATATTTAATTTTCTCTTAAATTCTCTAACTGTATTCATTTTGACTTTTGTACTTCTGGTTCTAGAATTATTTTTCTACTTTCAATTTTCTTCAAATAGTCTTAATTTTAAAAAAAATTTTTAATATACTCACTAAATATTTAAAAATCCATGTCCATAATACATATTATCTTTATTTTATTAAGTTGCTTTTGTTTTTCTATCGATTGTCTTGTCTTCTATTCTATGTACTCACTTTTTATTTAGTGCTAGATGTTGTACAGAAAAATGACAGAAAGAGTATCAGCCTTATGTAAATAATGAGAAGAAATAAAGGATGGATCCCACCTCTTTCCAGTTGTTAGGTGGAGGCCATGGGGACTAATAGTCCTGGATCACATTCATTCAGTCTCTGTGACTTTTATTCTTTCAATCTCTGGTCCCTAGGATATAAAGCTTTGTGAGCTTCCTTTATATCTTGCTGGTAGATTTGGAGTTTACTGTGTTTTGGCTTGTTTGTTTTTTTCTAAATGCTTATGACTTTCAAGGTCATTGTTAATTTTCTCACTTCTATGCTATCTTTTCCAGAATCAAAAGTCTCTCTTTTCTGTTTTGATTACTTTCTTTTGTATCTTAGTTCTACATTATTTTTAGTTTCTTTTAAAAATTAGTGTATTTTTAAATAAATAATAATTACATTCTTCTTGAGGGATTGCTGCATACTTACACTGAATTTTAATCACTTTCCCTCCACCTTCTTGTCTCTTTCCATCCTCAGATCCCCTTCTCATTTCCATAGTCTGCCTTTCTGTTTGCTATCATTTATTATTTTTTCTTAAATTATTTATATTTTTGATTTTTCATAAAAGTGAAACCATGTGATATTTAACCTTCTGTGTTTGATTTATTTTGCTTAGCATTATGGGCTCAAGGCATATCTATTTTGCTACATGTAACTCAAATTTATCCTTTTTATGACTGAGTAGTACTCCATCGTGTATGTATACCACATTTTCTTTTTCCATTCATCTTTTCATGGGCACACAGTCTCCTTTTTAGATTTACCTGTTATAAGATGTGGTGCTACAAACATGGGTATACATGTATCACTGAAATACAAAGACTTTCAACATTTGGGAGAAGGTAACCAAAAGAGGCATTGATGGATTACATGGAATTTGTAATTTTAGTTCTTTGCAGCATCTGCATTGCTTATGTCATAGTGGTTGCACTATTTTATATTTCCACCAACAATATAGAAGGTTTATTTTTTCCTGATAGCCTCAGCAGCATTTATTGTTTTTTGAGTTCTTGATAATAGCAACTCTTTTCAAGTAAGATAGAATCATAGAGCTATTTTGGTTTGGATTTCTCTAATAGCCAAATGTGCTGAATATTTTTTCATGCACTTATTGGCCATTTGTACTTCTCCTTTTGAGAAATGTCTATTCATTTCAATTTTGGGCTCCGTGGCTTTTGCTACTTTATGTTCTGTTGCTTCATAGGGATTATAAACATCTCTATGCCCGGTTTTCTAGTTGTTTCAGGGGGAAAGATTGTTCTTGTTACTCCTTTTAGCCAGTTCACCTTTATTAAAGAGTTAGGAGTTGTTTTTTTTTTAAGTTTCCTTATTTAGCCAAATAAAAATTTTGCAACCATTTATGCGATCCCACGGTCTTTTTGCAGCAACTTCAGTTATCTGTGAAATTCATTAATTGAAGAACCTCCAATTAAAGGGATATAAAAGAAATAAAAGCTCTAACTTTCATAATCAAGGAAATTATATTTCACATGGATGAAGCAATTAGCAGCTTACACAATAACGCAGCTGTACAAGATGTTGATTGGATAGCATCAGCTTCAAATAGCACTTCAACCCTCACATAGATGGTGAAGTTGGAGCTAGACTTCGGAAGATGAATGTAGTCAGAGAGGAAGGAAGGGTATTTCCATCAGGGACTAACATAAGCTAAGGCTTAATTACCAATCAACTGATTTAATTCATACCTTAATGACTGAATAGTTTATCCCTTAATGCTCCTTTTCCTTGTTTTGCTGTTAATACTAATCAAGTTGTTGTGAAAGCTTGCAAAGACACTGGTGCATACTGAGATACATGTGTTAATTTGACTGATTGTGACATCTTTAGCAGACCCAGGAGTGAAGCTAACAAGCGCATGATTGTGCAAAGTCGTCATAGCTCTGTTTTGTGTTTTACTGTCAGCACTAGCTCATGAATCTCAAGAAAACTTCAGCAATCCAGCTGGTTTTTTTTTGTATAATGCCTAGTTGGAGAAATCCCCTGTGCTCATTCCCCTGCTTTGGTGCTGGATTGAGATATTTGTGAATATAAAACTAGAGCATCAGCCATGCTAGTAAAGCTGGAGAAGTATTCATATTATATCTACTTATTTACAATGCTAATTTTGCTTGAGTTAAGTGACTACCTTTAGTGCTCAATATTTTGCACTATGAGTTTGCTTAGGATGAATGAGATATCCTGTGTAACTGTCAAGCACGTAAAGCCTCTATATCTAAGATACTTGGTGAGTCTGAATTTCTGACAGGGGAAAAGAGTTCATAAAAAATGTAGTGTTTATAATTTTCTTAATAAACTCAGGCGTAAAGAAGTATTTTGTATATTTACTTCAAATCAAATGTATTCTACTTTGACACTCTAATTTATCATTCTGGTTGGAAGTTCAGTCTCATTTATTACTAGTACTTTCTCTTATATATTTACCTCCCATATAGTGCGATGGTTGTGGGGGTTTAGTGCAGAACAGGCCATGCAGGGAGGACTCCTTGATTTTAATTTATACTTATTACTACTGACATACTCCTCATACAAGCCTGCACAGTTTCCATGTTGTGGCTTCCATGGGTGTTTTTCTGAGCTTTAGAATTTGGTACCCAAGATTTGGCTTTCTTGCATACTGCATTGTAAACATTTTCCCATGTGGTCCTCCAATCATTGCAGGTTGTAATAATGGAGAGAATCCAAACACAGTTCCAGCCTTAGTAGTTCAGAATTTTTTTCTTCTTTAACTGAAGAAAAGATGAAAGGGTAGTGGTAAGTACTATGGGATTATCTTGAAATTATCAATGAAGACATCTTTTTATTCCTGCTCATTAAAAAATGGTTGTGAGAACGTGGCTCTATGAGATGCACTGGAACATGGGCTGGACTTCCTAATCACCAGTTGATTTACAGATCACCCTAAATAATGAATAAATCTGGCCTGTACTCTTACAAAGATTCTATTCAAGTAGACGGTTAAGAATATAGTAGGAAAAGGGGCTCTTTATTAGCAGTGACCTTAACACCTTAAATCTCAGGCTTCAAATTGCCTATTTCAGTTTCATTTGTAGTTATGAATCAGTCAGTTTTTAGTAATGCTTAACTTGTAACTGACAATGAATATGTGTGTGCATGTGTGCAGGTGAGTGTGTTTGTGCACATGTGCATGTGTGCATTTTTATATTATGTGCTCCTGTGCTGTGACCTCAAAGGGTACAGCTGTGTGGCTCAGGCACTTTTCTGTAATCTCTGGCTTTACAAGACTTCTTGTTGCAGATAAGAACACTGACTTCTCTTATCTGCTTGTCCCTAGGTGCTTCTCTCCGGTGAGATACTGACTGTACCTGCAGAGCTAGATTGCTTTTATCCCTGAACTATATACTGCAGACACTCAAGATTGGTGCCAGAAGAGGAGAAAGGGTAATTGTTTCTGAGGAAGGGAATTGTGTAGGTGGTAGTTCTATAAAAAACTGGGGGCTAGAGTGTTATTTTGTCAAATATGGCTGCCACACAGCCCTGAAAGAGCCTTTTGGTGTCTTTTGTAAAGAACTCAACACTGACATGCTTTGTACTTTGGCAGTTATTTTAGGGAAAAGTGTTTAAAATGTTTTAGTCTTTACAAAATCTCTTAGCTCTTTTAGTTGTATAACACGTTTTTATAGAGGCCTCTGGAATACTAATGATATCAGGTTTTTATTAATTCAGTGATGCTGCATTGTAAATCAGAAGTTTTACATCCTTGGCCCCATAACATTTTAATTTTCAAACTATCTGAGCAAACAGCAACTATTACTTGATAAGTATTTGAATACTGTACTTGTCATGTATATGCTTATCTTTTAATACTTAGCTAGAGAAAGCCTTTTATATGTAATTTTAACTGTATGTTTTGTAAACCTCTATTGATTTTTTTCATCTCTATAGAACTGGAATTCTTTTCAGAATTTCATCCCATTTAGCAAGTGCCAAGAAACTTAAAATGGAACTTCCAGAATGAGACCTTAGGTTGCAGACTTTCCCTTCCATGGTGGAGAATAGAATTATAACCGAAAAGCATTGCAAAACACACTCACCTTATAGTATTCTGGCTTCAGTTTTTATGTTACTAGGGGTTGAACCCAGAGTCTTTGTACTGAGCCACATCCAGTCTTCATTTTTTGCTTTGAGCCAGGGTCTCAGGCTGGATTTGAAATATGTTCTTCCTACCTTAACCTTCCAGAGAATTAGTATTCAGGCACATGCCACCACACATCAGTGGACATGGCTACTGAAATATCTGGGTTCCCATCACTTGGGGCTTCTATGAGACAAAGAAGATCAACAGGCATAACTGGGAAGTAGGTGAAGGAAAACACACGTTTCTACTAGTTGTTCCCCTACTGGGTTTCCATCTTAGCTTTTGGGGGAACCCCATGTGTTCTCTATATCCTGACAAAAACTGGGTCTCATTAAGGAATTAAAACATATTCATAGCAGAGTCTGATTAACTTAGTGCATTACAATATTATTATGCCAAGGAACTTTCATTTGAATAAACTGACAAAGTCCAAAAGTAAGAATTTTACAGAAGGGTTTAAACCATCATTCTTCCAGGATGTTATTGGCCAATAGTAGTTTACATATTCCCATAACCAAAATGATCATTTGGTATCTCCTTAATTGGTTTTCTACATCTAGTCCTGACTAGTATCCTTCTGAGTAGTAGTTGGACTGCCACTGACTGAGTCTCTAACACTATGCAGTGCAAGAGAGTAGAGAAGGAGAGTGAAGATGTAAACATGAAGAGCAGTGACAGAGAGGAGACAATTCTACTCTCATGGTTCGCCCACTGTCGAACAAATGGGACATCCACTGTGGAAAGAGGGAAAAGCAAGCAAAATTTTTGACTCACACAATGAAAATCTTATGACTTTGATGATACAATAAGATTAAGGTGTAGAATTTATTAACTACAGTACAGTCAGATTAATTAGGAGCTGTGTATTACATTAGATTCTCAACTGTGTATTCTTGGTAAATTCTTTATCCTCTGTAGTCCTCAATTCCTCAAGTGTGAAGCAAAAGTCATGCATACATACCCCAAAGAACAAATGGAAACCCCATAGTTTGCAAACTCAGAACAAAGCTGAGATGTTTGAAACACAGAATTATCATTTAAGGGTATTCCACTAATTTCTTTTTCCCTATAATTGAATTTACTTGTATCTCTTTGGCTGGGAAAGGCTACACCAATGTAAATGTAGTGGTATAACATGGGTTGACTAGTGCTTCTGGGAAATCACATGGGTCCCAGCAGTCAAACTCAAGCTCTGCACTTAGATTAATGAATGATCTGTTTACACTATCTCTAAATTCTTCATTTTTAAACAAAGGGCCTCATATTATTATTTTCTACTTAGTCCTCAAAAATATATAGCTGGACTTGCTCTTTGGCTTCTTCTCTTTGTTCCCTTATGTAGTCATGGAAACTAGAAATCCATTTATGATCTTAAGGAGAGAAACATATGGAAGTTAGTTGAGAGCCTGGCTAGGGAGTCTGCTAGAGGGGTACAGTGACAGGGATGAAGTGACTCTCAAGATGAGGGTTGTTAAGTGGTTAACTTGAACTGAGACCAAATATAAGCCATAGTCAAACATTTGGTGGTCCCTTGCACCAAAAAATGCCATAATTGAGACTAATTAGTAGCAAAGGTTATCAAGCCCTTCCCATGCTAACAAAATGCATCTCTAAGTCCATCAGTTTCTGGCTTCATCTCCAAATACGAGCAGAATGAGGAGTGACAAGGCAGAAAAGGTACAGAGTCCCAAGGAATCAGGAAGTTGGAATTTACACAATTGTGAGCCTCCCCTACATTTCATTGTATCACAGGTTATGCAGCGCTTACAATAAAAAAGTAGAATGCAGTAAAATGAATCCATAAAGCATCTGTATTATTCACACCTGATTTATAGCTTGGTGAAACCTACTTGCTGGTTGGGTTCCTTTTTTTGTCACTGGAGGATTTTGGCAATCCCCTAGAGCTCTTGGATAATTAAAAGTCCTCTGGTCACATTTTACCATAAGAATTTTCTCACTTGTGTAATTGAAGTGTCAAGTCACATGAAATAGTCAATATTTTGACTTTCGCTTGAAGTTAAAGCTTTTCATACTCTTTCAGAGTTTAGTCTATTTTGCACTTGGCAACCTGTAGTAGAAAAGAGGGAACAGTTTTACTGTCTTTACTCTTCTCACTGTGTATCTCCTTATACCCCTTCCTCCTGTTTGATAGCCATACTTATGAACTTTTCAGGTCACAGTGGGTAGAGGAATGAGAGATGTGGAATAAGAAGAATCTCAGCTGAAATGTATCACTGTGGTCTGACTTTGATGTCTTGACTGGCACGTAAGTAATCCTGAGTCGAGTTGTCTTCATAGGTTATTTGATAATCTCCTACTTCCAAGGTCCTTAAAAAAGTTAAAAGTGTCTGTATGGACATAAAGGAACCACATTTTGTGTCTACTAAATCTTGATTTGGGTAATAATCTCTGCTTCTTTCTTCTGATATCCTATTGTTCAAGTTTGAAAGCTCTCTTGAGGCAGAGTATTAAAGAAAGCTAATTTTTGCTCTGTAGTAGGCTGAATAATGATCTCCCAGGGATGTTAATGTCCAAATCTCTAGAAACTGAGAATATATTATTTTACAAGGCAAATTAGGCAACCAAGCATGGTGTTACAATCTTATAATCCAAGCACTTGGGTGGCTGAGGCAGAAAGATCACCATAAGTTTAAGGCTCACTTGGAGTACATACTGAATTCAAGGCCATCCTGCGCTACACAGTGAGAATGAGACTCTGCAGATGTTACTGACAATTGTGAAATCAGGAAATTATCATAGATTATCATGGAAGGGTTGATTTGATTACAAATTTCCTATAAGAGGGAGGCATGATAGCTTAGGCAAGAGAAAGCAGTGTGACAAGGGAAATAGAGATTGGAGTGATGTGACCAAAACTGAGGGAGGCCAGCAGTCTCTCGAAAAAGCAGGAGAGTCAGAAAAGATTCTCCCATGAAGCCCCTGAAAAGAATCAGCCCTACCAACACCTTGAATGATGTTAGCTTCATTTACGACTTCTGTCCCCACTCCCAAATTTGTGAAATAATAAATATGCATCAACTTACTAAATTTGTGACTGTTTTTTATGGGAGAAATAGGAAATTAATATATGGTCTGAATCAGGTACTAACATATCATTTATGTGAACAAATTCTGAAAGTAAATATAGGCCATGGTTATTGCACCAGCCTCTCAGAACAGCTAGACAACCACAGCTCTTACTTTCTTGCATTCCAAGCTGGACACTAGACTCCATTGATCCCAAATAGCAGTGGACAAAGTGTAAACTCTCTCTCTCTCTTTCTCTCTCTCTCTCTCTCTCTCTCTCTCTCTCTCTCTTTTTTTTTTGGTAACAGGGATTCAACTCAGGACCTTGCGCTTGCCAGGCAGGTGCTTATCCGGTTGAGCTACATTACCAGCCAAGCTCTCTAGTCTTAAGGTGTCCCTCAATTGGCTTCATGTAAGAGTAAAATACCAACTCTCTTCCATTACGGTGAGAATGGAGAGCAATATTCTGAAAAAGATTGTTTCATTCCAATTTCCAACTGCTTCTCAAATTTAGTTTACTTATATCAGAGATGTGTAAGAGTTATGAAGCAGAATTTGAATAACTTTCTCAAAATTTTTGCATTGGTGGTGCAAAATATTAATTTTAGAATTTAGGCATACATGCTCACTTATGTTTTATTCTTTGTCTTTCAAGCTATCTGATTAAATTGGTTGAAGGGGCCCAGTTTAGTATTTTCTTATATGAAAGCACTCTCATAAAGCCAAGACGTTCTCCTGGGGAGTAAACAGGGGGTTGGAGAGATTATTTTAAAGACTACATTTATCTAAAAGTATCTAAATTTGTCTAAATTTATCAAAACTTAGAGTTTAAATTATTACATTGGGCTGAAGTTAACAAAGAGAGCTAGATAAATTTTTGTCTTCCCACCAAATATATAAGGGCACCTGAGAAATATTGGATTAGTGATATAATAAATGAATGAAATACACTTTCTTCATACATCTGAATGCAATATGAACACTTTTCTTTCTGCTATGTGTCTGGTTTTTATGTGTTGATTGGCAAAGTCGGCAATACTTTATGTCAGGTCTATCTTGGAGATTACCTCAATGAATGCTGCTTACCTGCTATCTTAGTTACTTTTTACTTGTTGCTGAGACAAAATACCTGAAGCCCAAGTTGGGAAAGGAAAGGTTTATTTCTTACAGTTTTTGGAGGTTTCGGTCCACACTCAGTTGGCTCCAAGGCAGGCGGCGGGCATGGCTGGGCCGCAATTCATGGTGGCTGCAAACAGCGAACAGGAACCAGCAAAGAGCAAGACACACTTTCTTCCTGCCATTACATCACATCCTGGCTCCACCCCTATGTGGGTGTAGCACTGACACCATCAATCCAAGCACTATACAATGAACCATCACAAATACACAATGCAAACTCATGAGGCCTGGGGGCCACAGACATAAACCATGACATTCCACCCCTGGCCCCCAGGACTCATGTACATCCTTCATACTAAAGACATTTAGTCTACCTCCAAGAGTTGCCAAAGTCCTAACAGCTTCAGCATTGCTGAAAATTCCAAGTCCCAAGTCTCCTCCAAGATCTATGGCAAACTCTTGACTGTAACCCTCTGTACAAATAAAATAAAGTTAAACATTTCTGAAATGCAAAGGCACAAGATAAACATTACCATTCTAAAAGTTACAAGTAGGTTAATAGAAAGCATTGGAAACAAAGGAAATCCAATATCCAGCAGGACAAACATTAAGTCCTAGAGTTCTACACTCAGCATCTGAAGCAATCTGATTGCAAGCTCCAAAAGGCTTGGGTGTTTCCACCACCATGGCACTTCCAGGGATTTTAACTCCCGCAGCTTTTCTCTTAAATCTTCTCTGCTTGCTTTTTGCACCTTCCTTTGGATCATCCACATTCCTGGCTTTTCCAAACTTCTGGGGTCTCCACTGCGCCTTCGGCTTCACCTTTACATCTTCACAAATTGCCCTCTCAGGGGCACACTGCATGGCCAGCTGCGCCCTTTGCAATCGAGGTGGAAGCTCTCTTACCCTCAGATTTTGTGCATTTTCCTTGCACCTAAAATCAGCACCTTGTGGATGCCCCCAAGGTCTGCTGCCAGCTGAAGCAGTCACCAGGCTTTTCTCTCTCTTGGCTGTAGGAGTCAGTTGCCTGGATTGCAGGGCTCTGTTTCCCTGATTGTGAGAAAAAGCTTCTCTACATTGCCGCCATTCTGGAAACTCATGTGGCCTCTGTCGCCATTCTACAACATGGCACTCTGCAGCTTTTTCCTCTTAGCAAATTCTTTCACCTTTGCAGTGAGGCTGCAAAGGGTGGGGACCCGCTTCCTGGGATGCCCTGGGGCCATCTTTCTTATCTCTCGGTTTCCCCTCAGGAATCAAAATCTCAACTCTGTCTTTACAATCCACAGCCTTCCTGGCATTTTCCTTCTGGCCAAACTCACAGTATTGCAAATTATCCTGCTGGGCTCTTTGCTCTTCATTTGAAACATAAAGCTCGCTAAAAGCTGCCAACAACAGCCATGCCACCGCCTCAATATTTGATTGCTTTTTAATTTCCTTTTCAAGATTAATCCATCCATTGCCCTTTGTCTCAGTCTCAGGCAAAGTCTCTGGGCAGGAGCAAAATGCAGACAAACTTTCTGCCAAGCCATAACACACATCATGTGGAGTCCAACAACCAATGCAGTCTTTCTTCCCAGCAGAAACCTCCCAAGCCTGGTCTTTACCATCAGGCTTTCTATCAGCCTTCTGGTCTTCTGAGCTCTGACCAGAATCTCCTCTACAGAACAGCCTAAGCTGCTCCAGCTCTATGCATCCAGGCAACATGTCTGAACCTTTCCAAACTCTCAAGCCATTTTCCACAAGTCATTTCCAAAGCCTCTCAAAAAACATGGTCAGATATAGTCACAGCAAACGACCCCACTCCGCAGTACCAAATTCTGTCTTAGTTACTTTTTACTCGTCACTGAGACAAAATACCTGAAGCCCAAAGTTGGGAAAGGAAAGGTTTATTTCTTACAGTTTTTGGAGGTTTCAGTCCACACTCAGTTGGCTCCAAGGCAGGTGGGCATGGCTGGGCCTCAGTTCATGGGGGCTGCCAACAGCAAATGGGAACCAGCAGAGAGCAAGACACACCTTCTTCCTGCCATTACATCACATCCTGGCTCCACCCCTAGGTGGGTATAGCACTAACACCATCAATCCAAGCACTAGACAATGAACCAATCACAAATACACAATGCAAACTCATGAAGCCTGGGGGCCACAGACATACACCATGACAACTATTAAATAAATTTAATTGAAGACTTTCAATGTGTTCTATAAATGGAGACATTTTAAGGTAGTACCTGGTGCATGATGGAGGAAAGAAAACTCATTTGGATGTTGCTGATATTCCTAATATATAGGTGGCAGTTGTGGAGGAGGGCATTGCTGATGAGTAGGTGTGCAATGTAAAGTAAACTTTGTCCAGAGAGTCCCAGCTGATGGACTTGAGGTTGTAATCTTCAGGCCCTGTTGTAAGAAGAGTGGCCCATCAGTGTTTGCATTGCCTACTTTCTGCGTAATGTCTCAAGTGAGAAAAAATTATAAAAATAAACACCCAGAAACATCTGTTGGATCTGAAAAAGCACAGTGCTAATTTATATACAGAATCATCATCAGCTGAGAAATGAATTAACGAGATTGCATGTTTAATGCATAGTATATAGCATCTTTGTTAAGTGCCTCATCTTCATACAGAATCTAAATTTCACTATTGTAGTTAGTGTTCAGGTTGTAGTTAAGCAAATAATGCTTGTACATCACAAGGGACTTCAGGAACCCAACTGTGTGATATTAGTTCTGCCAGAATGTTTTATATCATGTGGATGACTTCACTTTTTTTTAGGGGGGCAATACATGTGTTATCTGAGGCCTGTGGAGTAGGCATTAGGAGATATATGTTCTAATCTCACCTTTATCATGTATTAGATATTTCATCTTAAACAATCCACAGCCTAGCAGGACATATTTTTATCAGTTAAATGCAAGTAATATTTACTTCACTGTATATTACTTAGATTAGTTGTAGACTTAAATGAGGAAACATACAAAAGAGCTTCACGTAATGCAGAGCTATAGAGAGGGAAAGGATACTTACGATGACTCAAGGACATGTCTTTACTGAATTCTCCTTCCCTCGCACTTTCCCTCTAAGGAATTCCCATTCCGGTCTCCAGGATAGTCTATTTTCAATGG